AATTTTTTTTTAAAACAATGTAATTTTTAATAGAATATTAATAAAATATAATTTTTGAATTCTAGAACTCTGTCAACTATATATTAATTACAAATTTAAAATTATATTAATTACAAGTTGAAAGTAAAATTATTATTATATATATAATATTAAATTCATTTTAAACATACAAAATTCTTCCAATTCATAAATTAAAATAAAAAAAAATAAATAAATAATAACAAATATTATCAAATATTTAAAATAAAATTTGAATTTTTAACCTAAATCTTTTAAATTCTTCTAATCTTCTTTGGATTTTATCATAAAATTTAATTTATTATAATAATTTTTCAAATTATTTCAAATTGTCATATTAATAATAATTATTTACTACTATATATAGGTATATATAATGAAACAATATCAATGGTTACATAAAAAAGAAAAAAGAAAATAAAAAAGTTATTAAATAAATGATAAGGCTTCCATTAGTAAATAATACTAAAACAAATAAATAATAAATACTCATTTTATATATCTAAAAAAAAATTACAATATAAATGATTTAAAATATATAATTCATAAAAGAATATAATATCATTGAAAAAAATTAAAAAGATATTAAAAATTAATAAATTTATACAATTTTTTTAAATAATTTTTTTAAAAAAATTGTAAATATAATGAAAATATATGTAATTTATATATGTAATAAAAACATTATACATAAAATATTTATAAAATATTATAATAAAAACATTTACATATATGTAAAATATATGTAAATATATGTAGTTTATTTATAATGTATAATAAATAGTATATATATATATTATAAATATTTATTTTTTTTCTCGAAAAATTTATGATTGAATTGAACTCAAAAACTTATTTATTATGAAATATTAAGTTACAATTTTTGTAACTTTTTTGCAAATGCATATTGGAAAACGATTAATGTAAATATAATTTAATATATTTCTCTTCCATAAAATTTAAATCTATTTGAAATTCTTATTTATTATGAAATAGTATGATACTATCGATTATATTTTCAATAAATTTAATAGAGATTTATATAATTTACAAATAAATTCAAAGCAATTTCTACATCATAATTTTACTATTTATAATTTAAACTAAAATTTAAATTATTTTAATTTAAATTAAAAAAATTCTTATCTTATGTAATATGTAAAACATATAAGTAATAAAAAATAAATTATAAAATAATATTTAATAAAGATTCTTATTCTTTTTTATAATTACTTATATAAACAGGGCACGAATGATAATTGATGGACTCAACGAAACAAATGTAAATAAAAAAATATTTGAGAAAATAATGAATAAGTAAGATATTAATAAAAAAATACTTTTATACAAAAATTAAAATTATATTGTAATATACAATTATTAAATAAAAATTTTATTATTATTAATAATCAATTTTTTATTCATTATTTTTTCAATTTAAATTAGTTTAAGAAATTATTATTCTTTTTAATATATAATACAAAAAATAAATAATATATATATAAATTGCAATTCTTTGTGACACAATCTATTTATAAATAACATTTTTTTTTAATTCAAATTATAATAAAATTTAATAATTCATAATAAAATAATAAAAAATTTTTCAAATATTGAAAAATTAAATTTTATTTTTAAAGATATATAAATTATAAAATTTTATTTTTATAATTCCAAAATTTCGATCACCAAATTGAAAATTCCTCGTTCCTCGAGAAAATATAAAATCTTTAAATACTTAACTCTCATTTGAGGGGGAGTTAAACCGCTTCCCTGACAAATCCTTCAATTGTCGAATTAACGCTACACCGAGTTCCTCACCAGGTTTAAGTTACACTCTCGTCCTCTTGCTCCCAACATATCATGAGTAACAAGATTAGCGACAAACAGGTAAACGCGTTCTGGATTCTAGTTAACGCGCAAATAGGTTACAGCTTTGTGACAGTATTGCCTCATTTTATTGCTCCCGTTTTTTCTTTTTTATCTAAAAATAATATCAACAAAATTGTTAAGATATAAAAAGAATGCACGAAGTTTGAAAACATTTTATTTGAAATAAAAATGAAAAATTATAATTTAAAATAATACGTTAATGATATTCAAATTACTTTATTAAATTAGAATTTTTGGATTAAGTGAATTAAGATAATGTAATATTCAGATCTTTAATAAAGATGAATATTTATATTATAAATTATTAACAATTTTAATATTATATTTACAATGACTTATATTTGATTTGTTTATTTTTTAATAAAATATTAATGATAAATTTTTTATTTTTAATAAAACTTTGTACATAGAGTATAATAGATTATATATGAAGGAATTTTTTTATCATTACTATTAAAACATTACTTTAAAAAGGTGAAATCAGTTTTTAAAGATTTTTGAATTTAATTGTGCAAGATAGACTAAAATTTTTAATTAATAAAATATTCAAAATTGTTTTATTATTCTATTGTAAAAAAATTTCTCATAAAAATTTTTCATCGATAAAAGATTGATTATATATATGTATATAGAACTTTATATAGAATTAAATTTTTATTTAATTATTATTTAAATTAGAATTTTTGGATTAAGTGAATTTCTTTATAAGATAATGTAATATTCAGATAGTTTTGTGAAGCACTATTCTGCATTTGTATCTATAAAATTCTATGCTTATTTTATGTAGATTCTTTTTATTTAAATTAAATTTTTGTTATTATCATAAATAAATTCAAACAAATTTAATTAATTCAAAAAATTTTTATAGTTTAAAATCAATAAATTATTTCAAAAGTAAAATTATATTATATTTTTATAAATATATTATATATACAAAATAATATGAAAAAAATTCATATCTTTTTCTATCAAATTCTACATAATAATTTAAAATATTTGCGAAATGTCTAGTTTTAATACAATAAAACTGTAAAAATTATAATACATTATTTAAATTATATTAATTTAAAAAATTATTCGTAGTATTATTAATCTTCAAGATTACACGTATTTAGCGAAATTGATATTTCAAGTCGATATTTTATTATTGAAAGTAAATACTCGAACGACTTGAAGAGAAAATTAGCTTGATGGTTAATTATAATTTATACAATTACAATATATGTTTTTTTCAGAGTTGAGAAAAACTACAAAATGAAGAATATTGAAATTACACGGATAATTTAAAATAATGGAAAACAAAATAATGGAAAAAGCCATAAAGGAAAATTTGCTTCCTTATTTACTTTTGAAATTCAAATAAAAATTAAAAGAAACACTATAAAATTTTATAAATCTCCATGAGACAATTTCAAACAAATTTAAAAAAAAATGAATAAAATTTTCTTACTTAAATCTTTATTTTTGAAAACATTTTATTTTCAAAAATTTTTCAAATATAAATGAATTTAACTAATTCTCGATTAGATACGAATAAATTATTAGAAGAAAGTTATTTTATATTTTTCATTTATTTTCACATATAAATTGAGAATGCATATATATCTAAATAAAAAATTAGATACTTATTATACTTGAATGAATTTCAATTTATTCGAAATTCAAATTAGTTTTTAAATAAAAAATTTTATTTTATATTTTTCATTTATTTTTATGCAGAATAAACTTCCATCAATAATACATTTTCAATATAAAAAGTATATATACAAGTATAAAACAAATACATTATTTATATTAATTAATAATTAATTTAAATAATATTGTAATTTAAACATTTTGTTTATAAACAAAATTTTAACAAATAAATATATAAATTAAAAGTTTATAGAACAATTATAATATATGTACAATCATTAAAAGTTTATAGAATAATTTAGAAAAAAAAAATTGGTGATACTTAGATGTGTAATGTGTATTAATAAATATTGCAGTACAAGAATAAATAATGAAAATCTTAATGAATATAATAGAAATAAAAAGCAAAAGAAATTAATAAACATAATTTTACTATAAAAAGCAAAAGAAATTAATAAACATAATCTTACTATTTATCCAAAAATAATTTAAAAATAATTGCAATGATCTAATGTTCTATTATTTACTTTAAGACTCTATATATTCCATCGAATATATTGCCAAAACCCAATACTCACATTAGGAGTTTAAATCAGAATACTAACTCAAACTAAAGGAAAGCTTAGTTCGATTAATTGTTAAGCAAAGGTGTATGAAAGCTAGATGAATCTGAAACCAAAGTCATAAAAGTCTCGTTTCAACTAAGAAGTTATTGGTCGTGCACCGATGTCCATCTTAAGACGAGCACAAAGAGCTCGCGCGAAACGATGAGCTTCTCGGAAGTAATAGCGGAAAGACTGCATTCACCGGCCATAATTCCCTCTACTTTGTGTCACAAGGTGTTGGACATATAAATGTTTTCATTGTTGGTGGAACGAACCGTATGACTGGGCGATATTTGCGCGAACCTTCCATTTCACAATTAGTTGCATGTAGTTATGCACATTCGTAGTTGATGAAAATGTTCGTAGTACAAACAATAAAATCGAGATTGTCATTCTTTTTTTTTTTGTATTTTGGTGATAGAGATTGTTGTCCACAAAATTAATGTCGAAATTAAAATTACTCACGCAACTCGTTGTGAATTTTTTTTTTTGTAATGATCACGAAATGTGAAAGAATCAGCCGAATGTTTTTTAAACGTGGCGCCACCCATTGGAAATTTGGTGAAATAGAAGTGAATAGTGTGTAAAAAAAAGAGGTAGTGTGCATTGAATATTGAATTATGTGATAGTTGAATTATGCGAAGTTTATTTTTTATGTGTGTTTATAAAAATAGTTTGAGTTTTTTTTTTTATTTTACTTTAATTATTATATTTCAGTGATATCGCCTATTGCAACAATATTAAAATGCTATTCATATATTCAATGTGCAACATAATTTATTTTTAAAAAGAATTCTCAAGCATAAGGCAAAATCCGATTATATCCGGACACAATTTTTACGAATTTAGGAAAAACAAAGGCAGTGCATTCGGATGCAGGATGTAGCAGAACGTTGCCAGTCGCATCCTCTTGGAACGGACAAGATGTGAACTCCAATGGCAATAACAATGGAGGTAACAACTTGGTAAAGAGGGAACCTTTGGCTTCGGTGCCATGTCAGGTCGCTGAAGTCTCGACATCCCTTCATGCAACCACTACTTCCGTAAAAATCGAACCAGTTCCTCCAAAATCAGAAAATGGTAAGTTTTCTGTTTCTATAGATGTATATATACATATACATATACATAAAAGTCTTCATACTTTTATTACTTTTACAAAATATCATCAAATTTTATCTAGAAATTATGGAAATTATTTATTCTATAAAATATATTAATATATTTATATCATGTTATTAATATATTATATTATTATATATTATATTGTTATATATTATATTATATATTATATTATATATATAATATATATATAATATTGTATATAAATATATTATATATCATGTATAATAAATTACAAAAATAATATAAATAATTTCAAATAATAAAATCATATAAATAATTTTATGAGTATACATATATAATATTTTATTATTTTATTAAACTTTCTTGTGTAAGTTTTATTAATTTTCTTGTAAAATAATTATTATTACTTTATATAATATATTCATTATAATATAATATATTATAATGAAATAAGTATTATTATTTTATATATTTAAAAATATATTAAATTACAATGTTTGGTTCATTTTAATGAAATTTTTTTTTATTAAAAAGATATATAAAGACTTTCATATATGATTGTATGTATTTTTATTTACATTGATTTTCTGAAATTTTTTTAAGGATATGCTTTTTAAACTGCATTTTGATTTATTAAATAGTACAACATAATATAAATAAAAATATTGCATGATGATATGATGAATATCATAATATGATAATATTTATTTAAAATATATATAAATTTATATTTGTGTAAAAAAAAATTTTATATCAACGTAAAATTTGAAAGTAAAAATGAAAAGAAAGTGAAATATGTGAAAATACATAAAAAAATACAAATATATATATAGTAATACAAATGTGCATATATTCAAGGTGGATTATCTTTGGAGAATCGATTTTAGAGGCTAAAATAAAAATTGCTATAAAAATATCGATTAAAATGTATTTATTAAATTACGAGCAATTGAAGTTTACATTTGATAAAGCGAACGATGAAACAATTTTATTTCTGTTACAATTGTACATTGTTATATATTGTTGCTGTCATCATGTAATGCAAACTTAACCAAAGATATCCTTTAAAATATATTAATTTGCTATGTATGAATATATAAGATTATATAAGATATAAGTATACACAATATGTCAAGATTTTATTTTTTTTTAAAATAAATATATAAATATGTTGCAAAATTTTAAATTTTGCATTTTAAAATTATCCTAATAAAATATATATGTATATATATTTTCCTAGAGCTATGTTGTAGAAAATCACATCATGATATTTTATTTAATATATTAAATTAATAAAAAAAATTGTTATTAAAAGATTACTTTAGATATATATGTATATCTTGCGTTTTACATTTCTTAGCATTAAACTTTTTAAATACTTGTTTAAATATTGCACGTCTTCATTTTTTCTAAAAAATTATTTTACATATATTCTTTTTTTTAGATTTGTTTTTAAAAAATTTATAAACTTATTATAGATTATTAAAAGTATAAAATTGTTTTTATAATATTTTTAATTTCACTTAATTAAATTCATTAAGGAAGATATTAGAATTAAGAATATAATAAGGGCATATAATTTTATCATTTTTATTTTTTATTTCCATTTTTTGTTTTCATTTTTCATTTTAATTGCTTTTACTTTTTCATTGCTTTTACTTTAAAATAATTTATTATACAGGTGACGCAAACAAATTATTGTATTTTTATTATTTTTTTCTTATTTTTCTAAAAATAAAAAAGAAAATAATTCGAACCAAAGAATTTCCTTGAATTTCATTTGATCATTATAGTATAAGCGATTGATGATATTGTCATTTTAAATTGAAGTTTTAGAAGTTCATGATGCACAGATTTTAATCGTTATGAAATCAAAAATTTTATTTTTTGACATTAGTCATAAAATTAATTTAAGAATAGTAAAACAAATTTCTTAGCCGACATCTAAATTCTGCTCTTCGTGAAGTTTAAAATTCCATAAGAAATTTCAAATAGAATTGCTCATACAATTTGCACAGGAAACTTTCATATCATTTTAATATATTATTCAATTCTATGTATTTCAATTCCTTGAATTTATTCTTCGTTAATTTATTTAATAACCTCTGACACTTTATTCATAAAATATGTAATCTATTTAATTTTTTTTAATATTTAAAAATGAAAAAAACGTTTAATAATAGTAAATGAATAATTTGAAAACAAATGAAATGAAAATCGCAATTTAATCATGTTTATTAATTTCATTTTTTTTAATTTCATTTTATTTGTGAAAAATTTTGTTACATTGTTACATGAGCATAGTATTTAATTGCATATTAAATCCATACAAAGTTAATTTATGAAAAAAAAAATAACTATTTTGTGAAACAAAGAAATAAATTAAATTTAAATTATATGAAAATAAAATAATTAAATATATTTATGTATATAATGAATTTCACTTTAAAATAATTATGTTTTATTGTTTTTGATCAGGAAGAAAGCATTTAAAATATTAAATGCTAATAGCATTACTTTGTAATTTTTGTATAATTAAAATATTAATAAGCTATTAAATATAAAAAAAAAATATAAAAATATCAAAAAATAGAATAATATATTACAATAAAACAAAATAAGTGTAAGAAATGATCAAAAATAAAAATAATTCACAAAGAATTAATAAATTGAATTTAACGATTGATATTCAAATAATCTTGCGAATGCAAGATAAAAAAATTAATAAAGAATATTTTTATTAATTTCGTAATTTATATTATTAAAAATAATTAAAATATTTCTCTTAATAACTTTAACTCTAATTAAAAAAAAAATAAGCAAATTTTTTTTATTTGATTGTTATTATATATTTTTGCTTATACAAAAATAAATCAAAATTATATCTTAATATCTTTGAAATCGATTATATAGTCAAAGATATTTGATAAAATTTTTACTTCTTTCTTTATTAACTTAAATTATTAAATAATTCAAAGCGTAAATATTAAGTAGTTAATAAATTTCGTTCATAAAATTTCATCACAAAATATGTAATTAGAATTAAAATTTAAGTAAAATTACAAATTTTTTCGAGTCCTTGCTAATTGTAATTTTTCAGGAAAAAACTATTATAAAAATCGTAAAGTGTAACATAGTGAAATTGTTATAAACAATCATAATTGTTAATTGTAAACATTATCTTTTGTTTAATTTATCATTGGGATAATTTAAAATAAAATAAGTAATTGATGATTAAAATCCTTAGGAACGATATAAATATAATGAATATGGAAAATATGAGATATTCTTTTTGTTTTTGTCTACAATATCACTTAATTATTAAATATTATTAAAAAAAATTAAACTAATAATTTTGGATAAATATATGAAAAATATATTTATAAAAAACTTGTTAAATTTTTTATTTTTTTAAATGAAAATAAAACTAATAATAATTCAAATGATAATATAAGATTATATAATTTTTAAGAGAAATAAATTGAAATAAAAATGAAATTATAATAAAATGTTAATAATCAAATTTTAATAATATAAATTCAAAATATAATCACAATTTATTTTGGTTTATATAATCACAATTATGTATAAATTTTGATTTTATATAAATAAATATACATATGTATACATATACATATATTTAATATAATAAATATTACAGTTTTAATTTTAAACCATTTATTTTTGATATGTAAAATAATAACTGAAATTTTATTATATATTTATCATTGTAATAAATTTTAAAAATATATTATAGATACATCAAATAGCCATTAATATTCTGAATTTATGATTATATAAGTAATTTTTTAGTTTTTTGAAAATCTCAAACAGATTTTTCTTAAATATACATACATGCAGAAACTTTCTATATAAATAAATAATGAACAATAATAGTTGTCATGAATTTCATTATAATTTTTATTTTATTTAATTTTAAATCGTTTTAATTATTTAAAACGATTAATTATTTTAGTATTTATTTTGTTATTATTATGTATAAATCAAAAACTTGGTTTTCTATTTTTTCCTCTATATACAAATGGAAATTTTAAATAGAATTGTTTCGAATTAAATTTAACGTGAAGAATTCACAAACGTTAAAATTGATTAACACAAGAAGCGCATAAAGATATGTGTTTGTAAATAATAAAATTTTTCTCCACAGGATATGGAGAATTAATTATAATGGTATCACATGTAATCAACATGTAATCAAGCCATTTATATTTTAAGAGATTAAATTATTTGTATTTATCGAAAGGTTTTTCTTCGTTTTTTTATCCTTCCTTTTCTCGATTGTTGTTTTAAATTGTGAACAAATTTTCTATGTAAATATTCGAATAAAACTTTTTTTTCTTTTTCTCTTTTTTTTTTTGTTTTATTTTTTAAAGAATTTTACATAACTAATTACGTTGAATGTTTCGAATTTGCGAATTTTTAAAACTTGCAATAGCTATAAAAAATACGAAAAATTATCGATGAAAGTTTATTTTTCAGTTTTAATGCTGTTGAATTGAAAATTTTATTCGATTCATTAAAATTTTTATTTATTAGTTATTAGTTAATAGTAAAATTCAATTATTGATTTATTCCAATTTTATTCATTGATATTTTTTTGAGAAACATGTATTTGTATTTTCAATCTTTCATTTGAGATATAATAATATGAGATATAATAATAAATAAGTATATATATATATATTACTAAATATCAAAGAATTTGCAGATCATTAATAATTTAAAGTAGGAGATTGTTGTCATTGATATTCATTAGTTATAAGATAAATATAAGTTACAAAAAGAATACAAAAATGAAAAATTACAATCGAAATATCATTGTAATATTATTATAGTGTTATAAGAAATCATATTTTAACAATCGAAATGTTATTTCGATTTTTAGGTAAATTGGAAGAAATGATATCAATGAAATTTTACTATTTTTTATTAAAATAATTTGTTTATAAATTTTTTTTTAAGAAATTTTTTAAGAG